TGTGTGTAGGGAAAACGCTCCCTAATGGACCAACCACAGGGTTCCCCACTCTTTTGCATAGGCCTAGGCAAATAAATCGAAAAGTCGATCAAACCAATCAAACCGAACTGAATTTGGGTCGATTTGACATAGGTAATTGGTTTGATTTGGTTTTCGTTTAATTAAAACCATGGTGGTTTAGTTCGGGTTATGGTTTGAAGTCTCAAATAACTGGTTAACCGAATCAACACAATCCACTTACATGTTTACCTTTTTTTTAAAAAAAAAAAAAAAATCAAAAGATAAGCTCTAATCTCATAACTATATTACAATTCCCTTCAATCTATGATATTGCCGGTAAGTAATAGTACTAAAAATTTTCTTTCACGAGCTGATTATGTTATTCTTAGTTTTTTTTCCCGACACAAGCAATTAGGGTACATAATATATCTAAAGGCAACAAAATTCTTAAGCTTTTTGTTGATCTGTTTCTAGCAACCTAATTTTATTTGATAGTCAATTATTCTTGTAATATAAAGTTATTTAGTTATTTTAAATCTTGTAATCTAATTGAGCCAAAATTGGGCAAAAACTTGGGATATTATTTTTAAAAAAAAATAATAATAAATTTGAACTAAAAGTCCAAACCGACTAACCGAATCAAACCAAACCAAACCGATTCGATTGGTTTAGATCGATTTAAGAGTTAAAGTGTGTTGGTTTGGGTTGAAATTCACCTAAACCGATTAATTTGGTTTTGGGTTGGAGTTGAAACCAAACGAAACCAAACCGCGTCCAGGCCTACTTTTTGCAAAACGTAGCTAGCCGTCTTGTGGCCTATTTTTCAATTTTGCTGATGGTCCTCCTTACTTTCAAAATTTTCATTTTGGTCTCCAAACTTCTCAATTATGAATTTTTCATCCTTAATATTATAATTTCATCTAATTGCATCTAAAACTTATTCTAATTGATTTATTGCCACCCCGAATGATATTCAGCTGCTCGAATTAAGCTCCAATCAAGCTCACATTCACTACTTTTTACATAAATTGCCCTTAACCACGATCTTTATCCTACAAATTACATAATTTTATATAATTAGGTAATAATCCGCTCAAATTAATCATAATTTATCAATATTACAAGCATAAATAAGCGTGTAAGCATACTTATCACTCTTCCATTAAATCTACCCCTCCAATAGTAGGGTTACAAATATCCTACTTCTGCAATAAGTCTCCGTCAACAAAGGATGGAAAAACAATGTGTAGCTTATTAATAGAGGTAACAAGTTGATTTACGTATAACAAAACTAGTGTACATATAGGGTTGGACAAGACCCAAAATTTTCGAGTACTTAGTAATTGGAATCGTCGAGTCTAAATTTAATTATGGAACCGTTCGGGTTCAGTTCCATTTGGTTCGGTTCTGTTCGGTTCCGTACCATAATTTCATTTTTTAACATTTACAACATTACATAAATACAACTAATAACATGTTGAATCATAGCTTTTACAAATTAACGAAGTCCGATTAGAAAACATATAAATAACAAGTTGTACAATAAAATTAATTTACCAGTGTATACAAATACCAAAAAATAGATATTAGTACTAAAATATCGACAATCCATATCAATAATTTCCTTGCTTCAGCCTTCAAAATCAAGTCTACATAAAACAATTAAATATGAATTAAAAGTCATAGAGATAAAATATTTTTAAATATTGCTAATACTTACCAGTTATTTGATTAATCATCAATTTCTTGACTTGCCATACGAAGAAACTCTACAGAAAAATATTGAAAAAACACAATTAGTAAACATAAATGAACTAAAAATTGTTCAACTAATAAGATTTAATAAGAAAAATAAAATATATATTTTATTACATGTCTCAATGCTCTGATAGAACTCTATCTCTTCAATACAAACTCTATCTTCGAAAACTCTCAAAAATCTAGATTCTTTCATTAGCCAGTTTTGTGTACAAATCAAGGTCTCAACTGTTTTAGGAGTTAAAGAACTCCTAAATGGGTCAAGAATGCGCCCTCCAGTACTAAATGCTAACTCAGAAGCCACCGTAGATACAGGAATAGCAAGAACATCCTTTGCAACCTTAGATAAAAATTCAAACCTTGAACTATTGATCTTCCACCATTTTAAAATGTTAAAGTTTTCATCAATAGCATCTTCAGTAGGTTCCATTAGATATTATTGTACCTTACCTTTTTTAGAAAAATCCATTTTGCTAGTTTTCATTTTCTTGTACCCAAAATCAAAATTACAATCATCCCAATCATCATCATCATCTGAACCCTCCAACAAAGTGACTCTATCATTATGTTCATTGCCACCACTTCCATTTCCACTAGCTTCATTCTTTGAACGATGACATCCCTTGTATTGGTTAAACAAAGCATACAATAATTTCATGACCTCAATTTTTGTGGCTTCAACCTTGACAAAGTCATACAAGATACCAATACAATGTACAACAAACTCCAACTTATACCTAGGATCAAGCACAACTGCTAAAATCAAAATCTTGTTCATTTTATCAACATTACCCCCAATACTTGTCAAACTTAATTTTCATGTCGTTTGCTATGCTACTTAGCAAATAATCTTGCTTATCACCCATTTTTTTCAAAATTTGCTCAATTTTACACATTTCTTGGAAGTGAATGTTGGAAGTAACACTCAATGAAAAAGGTTCTTAGAAACTTGACAAATTTTCTAGCTTTCTCCCAATCATAACTTGAGGGTATCTTCCTCCATTCTATAAAAAGCTTTTTCAAAATTCAATGAACTATCTAACATTAAGAATGTTGAATTCCATCTAGTAGAAACATCAAAAATAGCAAGCTTTTTGCATGCAATCTTTTCCCTTTCAATACAACACTTAAATTTCACCAACCGAGAAAGAGATAATCGAAAATATTTGACCGCATTGTGAATACTTTCTATAGATAGATTAAACTCTTTCAACCCTTCTTTAACAATCAAATTAACTATGTGTGCTGAATAACGTACATGCAAATAAGAGCCACCTAAAATCATAGTATCATTAGGTTTCCAATTCTTCAACTTGTTTTTCACATAAATGATCACTGCATCATTTGCACTTGCACTGTCTACAGTAATGGTACCCACACGCTCCCCAATCAAGTAAACAATTTTCAATAAGCTTCCCAATTGTCTCCCCTTTGTGATTTGGAACAACAGAAAAAGTCAATATCCTCTTATGTAGTTTTCAACTTCTATAAATAAAATGTGCTGTGACTACCATATAATTGATGTTTTGAATTGATGTCCAACAATCAGTGGATAAAGAAATCATTTGCCTATCATTAATAAATTTAATCCTCAATGATTCCTTTGTTTCATGCTAGAGATAACACATCTCTAGCAATCGTTTTTTGACAAGGAATCTCAAATCTATGACAAAGTTGATGAACAAATTCCTTAAAATTCACACCTTCCACAAAGGAAAAAGTCAATTCATTAATAATAATCATCTTAACCAATGCTTTTCTACACATTTCTTTATTAAACACCGTAGCCATAATACCACCATCATTGTCTTCTCGAGAGAGTATTGCTTGGTTGTCATCAACCCTAGTGCTCTTATATGCATAACAAATTTTTAAATGCTTCCACATGCTAGGAGTTCCATTATTAGTATCAGCCTTAAATGCTCTTTCTCCATCAAGTATTTTAGTGAAATGATTTCATATTTCCGACATCTCATTAGGCTATTTTTTTGTCTCCCATTCGAGCATCCAAAACTGATATAACCTTAATGAGAAACTTGATTAAATCTTGCACAAACAATTTTCCAGAAAATCATCAAATGGCGGAGTCAAATTGTATAACTTTATCACTCCAGAATCTCCCTCACCTTTAGCAAGTTTGAGAATTACTATGAATTTTTTGTTCAAAATAATTAACTTAATCATGTTATAACTTTATCATTCCTGAAAATTGTCCCTTTTATTACCTTTCTTGATTCTTGAAAAGTGAATACTCATTTCATACAACATAATAAAAGAAAACCAAGATAAAAATCAATCAATACTTAACCTCGAAATTCAGAAACCCATTGAATCTACAAAAAGATTATAAAGATTTGTGAAAAGTTCCAACATATAATACATGAAGAATTTACATCATATGTACATGTTTACAAGAATTTGCTAATCGGTAGGAGGCAGCCACGAATCTGTCTACAATAATGCTATCTTGTTGCACATGTAAGATTAAACCACCTATTTCTCATTATTTATCTAAACCTTCTATTATCTTAAAAGACGACTCTTTATCTGCCTCCCTGGAAAGAGAAAAGAAATGTAGTTAATAATTTGCTTCTACTGCTCTTCTCTAAAGCCAACATTGTAATCAAACTTTAAAATTTTATCAAAAAATTAAAAAGGAAAAAAGATAATGAAACCAAATATCAAATTAGGGATTCACTGGAACGAACAACTGTATAAACCCTAGTGAATATATGGAAGAATACTTCCTACCTTGTTCGAATGGTCTATGGTTGGAGGTCTCGGCTTTGATGGGCTTTCACCTTTCGGAGTTCACCGCTTCGATGGCGACGATGGGGGCCAAACAGGGCGACTTCGATTTTGGTCTTTGGATTGGATGTGTAGGTTTTCAATTTCTTATGGGTTAATATTGAGAGATAGGACCGTATGTAGTGTACTATGTAGTTTATTTAGGGTTGGATACTTGGATTTAGTGGGTTAGATATTAGAGATTCAGAGTTGAGCTAAAAATGGAAGAACAAAATGGGCTTGAATGCTTGATGTTGGGCTAAAAAAAAAATTTAAATAAAACAAATAATTGGGCCAAAAAATTAGATTTAGAAAAAATTAAAATAATTTGATTTATTCAATATAAAAAAAAAAGGAAAATTCAATTCTTGGTCTAGAACCAAGAATCGAACCGTACCCATTAGTTCTTGATTCGGATACCCGTTCGGGTATTTAACTTAAGAAGAACCTTCGGGCTCGGTTCGGGGATTTTTATCCAGCCCTAAGTACATACATAATGCTTTTCGTACATGGAAAAGAGATGTGTACAGATAATTCCAAATTTAGCAAAGATATAAAGGGTAAAATGAAAATGTACAATAATTTTGTGAGATAATTTTAGTAGTTTTTAAAGGATTTGGATCAATCTAATAGTAAAAAAATTCAAGAGCGTCAATGAAATTTGAATTTTTTTTTATGTTGAAAATAAAAAAAATGGATCCATACTTAACAAAATGTGTTATTTATTAACTGTCTTCTACATAAGTATATAATTATAACTTATAATACAATAAAGTGTACAAGTACTCATTATACGTTACATGATAAAGTAAGTCCTTGTATTTTTTATAATAATTATCAATTTCTCCTTTTTCCCTGCTCTATAATATATTTAACTGATCACCTTACTCTTGCATTTGTTACTTTGCCCATGTTTGATAGAAATTCTTTGAAATTCGTTTTCATAAATTCATTTTCAAATACTTGTTCTCTCAATAAAATAATTATGTACATAAATTCATAATTTTTTTAAATTTTTTATCATATATTTTTCAAAAAATTATTTTTCACAAAATTTTTTTAAAAAAAAATCTATATTAAGTATGCCCTTATGTACAATTATTGTAGGGGGCGTAGGTATTTTGGCTATTTGTTTAACATGTTTTACTAACTACTTTAATTATAATTAATTTTCTAAAACATAAACTATGAAAATTTTAGTTTTTATTAATAAAATTGTAATTTTAAAAATTATTTTGTTAATACAAATAATTTAAAGATATGTTCGTCTTACTTCTAAAAATTACATTACTGTAAGCGTGGGTAGTCAAAATTCATGCACTTGAAAAAGAGTAGGAAAATTGAATTTGTGTAAGAAAGAAAGAACTCAATTTTATTTAACTAGTGAAAAATTTGTACAGAAAATAAATCAAAACATTTTAATTTTTATCACCACGGAACAGACTTCTCTCGTACCCTTTTCGGCCCACTACTTTCCACTTGCTTCCTACCATGAACCACCGGTGGCGCCACCTCTCCCACCGCCCTTTTCCGCTTCTTAGGCAGCCCATCCGATACCCGGAAGATGCAGAACGACTAGGCGAAGACGACGATGATTTTTTAGTAATCTTGACCGGCTCCTGTCGTACGCTAATGCAGCATCCTCCGCCGTCTTATAAGTCCCTAGCCACACACGGGAGCCATTCTTCGCAGGGTACCTTATCTCCGCCGCAAACTTCCCCCACGGCCGCTGCCGAACCCCTCTGTAGTGCTTTCCCCGGGGTGGTGGTGCCACTGGTTCAATATCCACTTCCGTCTCGCTTTCTGGCAGCGCAGCTGTAGGAAAAGTAAAATCTTCATACATTTCAAAGCTGATATCAGGCTCGCCCTTTACAGTCACACCATTGGNTGGCAGCGCAGCTGTAGGAAAAGTAAAATCTTCATACATTTCAAAGCTGATATCAGGCTCGCCCTTTACAGTCACACCATTGGCGGGCCGGCGGCCATAGGCGGCGGCAGCCACTCTAATGGAAATGGGGATTGAGAATTGTCGAGCAAATGCCTTTTATCGATTCAAGAAGGGCAAGATCCTACTCATAAGCATTATTTTCATATATCGCCATTTTGTACTATAATTTCAAACAAAACAAAAAAACCTTTATCTTTTCAAAATTGTTTTCTGGGTTATCAATGTTTCGGCGAATAAAAGCACTACACAGGTTTTATTATTTTATATATATAGTTTCAATTTCACAGAAGGTTCATGCACTCACAATTCAAATTGCAAAATATATATGTATAATTCAAACAAGTTGAATTTTGTTGGTATATTTCTATGTTTCTTTGAAGGTTCTTATATTCTAAAAAGGGGAATTTTCAAAAATGTCACAAAATTATCAAGGTCCTCAAAAGTTGTCATTTTCATTTTATGTGAGCAAAAATGTCACTTTTTGTGTGAAATGTCCAAATTATCCTTAATGACACATTTTCATTAGCATTTAATGCTTGATTTGAAAGAATTGATTATATTGATGTGATGATTTATTTTATATATAAAAAAATATGGATAAATGTGTATTATATTGATTAATATGAATTTGTATTAATAAAAAAGAAATTTAAAATGAAACATAAACAAATATATCTTCTTCTTCTCTTACAAACCCTAATTTTTCTCATCTTCTTCATTTCATTAATCAAGAAGATTTTTCTCTTGCATTCATAATCCATTTTGAGAGGTTAATTATTAGAAAATATTTACATTTTACTTCTACAGTTTACTGTTTTGTAAATATTAAATACAATCTGGACATATTTACTTAAAATTTTTGAAACTATTATTCATTGATTTTTTTTTTTTAATCCTTCACAAATGTGATTATCACTATTAAGATTTTGAGTACTTTCTTCCATTCAAACCAAACAATGTTTTCATTAAATGTCTCTTCAATAACAAGGCCAATCTGACCTTTTTCATCTAGCTCAATACTAATTATCACACTTAATGTGTTGTGCTGAAGAATATGTTCTGCCCACTGTCATCTGCTTCTCGACATTTTCGACGGTTCAACTGTCAAATTTGACATTTACAAACCGTCGGGTTAGACGTTTGAAATGTCGAACCCGACATTTACAAACTGTCGGGATATATAGTTTTACTGTCAAATTGAACACTTAAAAACGATGGAAAGCCTTGATTTGACCTTTTACTAATGTACGGATTTACATATTATGTAGTGCCACTTTCATGCTATTAAATGCCAACACATTGATTCTGTAGAATTCTTATCATTACAATGCCAACATTTGAGGTATGAATAATCATTTGAGTTTCATCATGTCGCATGGGGAAAGTTTGTTCATGTGGATGACGAATAGAAGTGAAGAGGGGACAAAACCACTTACATTCAGGTTCCAACAAGTAATATCGTAACCGAACTTTTGTTAATGTTGAAGGACAAACTTGATATTCTTGATCCCCGTACTCAAATTGAATTGAAGTTCAAGGTCGTTAACTTGAATATACCTCCGACTGAAATACGTGATGATGAAGACTTATTTTCATCACATCTCAAATTGAATTTGAAAGACAATTAGTGTGATGCTTTTAAAGTCTAAGTGCGCTTGTATCACTCACACTTGGTCTATCATTTATGAAAATTGTGTATATTAAATCATGTGTACCATTTCATCTTGATTGAAACATGGTACGCACAATATTTTAATGTAAACAAAGAACTGCTCATTATGTTTTGCAAGAAAATGATGTCCAGTGATATTACCATGATTCACGAACGTTTTTGAATGAAACAAATCATAATATTCAATTCAATCATGTTTATTTTTAATTGAATACCAGTTTTAATCGATAAATCAAATGAGTTTCGAAACCAAGAAAGTTATAAAATGCACCAAAAATCATTTTTATGTACACAACCTTGCTCAAATATCGAACATGATGTAACCATTGTTTTGTACTGTGGAGTAGCTCCATGACCCCATTTAAAAAATAATCTACTATTATTTACTATTTACTATTCATTACTATAAACATTTTCTGTACGAAACAAAAACAGTTTCCTCTGCCAATATCACATAAATAAAACCAACTAATGCAAAATTATATATATAAATAGAAAACAAAATGTTGTTTCGTGCAGTTGCCACAGTCATCAAAAGTAGACCGTTGTGAAGGTTGCTCTTTTTTTGACAACGAAATCGATTGGTTCCATCTCCAATTATAGCAAGAACGTGTGCACCAACACTTTGACGATCATTCAAGTCATGAGTATGAGTCTGCTCATATGTCATCATACATTGGTGAAATTAGTATTCCGAGATAAAGCACGTAGAAAACAATGTGAAGAAATATAATAACGTTCACCTTATGTGGAAAAACAATCTGATCACAGTACATAATATAACTCAATTGATTCATGCAATCTATCATAATCTGAATTCAAACAAGCAACTTCCACAAAAATAGATTTGAATTGCATGTGATCCAAAAATTATGAAGAATGAATCGTGATGGTGATGGTATTGTTATACAAATAAAAACATGAAACACAAAAATATAACCACATATGGAAATCAGTCACATGTGAGACGTTCGGATGGAAAAAATCTAATCACATAAAATCAATCAAAAAATCACCAGATCATAGCATTTCATATATGTTCATGCAAAACACTCGTGCAATGTTAGAATGAACCAAAGTTTGACTTGTGGAATTGAGCGAAGGGAAGGAATGAACTGTCGTTCTCGACAGTTCATCTGTCGACTATTTCATCTGTCGAGAATTATTGAGGCTAATTGTCGGGAACGACAGTTAAGCGCGATGACATTTCTCTACATTAGTGAACTGTCGACAGATAAACTATTGAGAAATCTACTTTTCACCTCTAAGCAAATAGGTATTATTGAAAAATATTTCACTCTATATTCGAACATAACAAAACATTAAAACCACAGGTATGCTGTCAACTGTCTAGCAAGAGTTCAACCCAAATATGAGTACCGCCCACAACAAATGGATTCCAAGTGATAGCAACATTATTTTCACATCACACAAGTACTAAAAATATTGAAACGAAAGATATGTCAAGTGTGAATCCAAATTTTCACCCAACAATGAAACATCCAAAATATTTAAAATCTGGACTTTGAAAGCAAAGGAAGATGATAAATATTAAACTGGAACCCTAGATAATTTTTTCCCTCAACATTAGTGTTGGTACATGTAACGTGTGCATATATGCATCACTAATAGAAAATGTATACAAAAGAGAAAATTAAAATTTATGGTATGAAATTGCGGAAAGTAGGGGAAAAACATTTCCAACCATAACACAGCTAAAAATTATTCAAAACATCCAAAAAAATTACAGGATATTAAAAGAATTTTTACCTCTTTCTAATCCAAGCTCCAACTCTTATTTTAAACCCATCAAAAAGCTCCATTTTTTCGCATCTCATAAACCCTTTACATATAAAAATATTACAAAAATTGAGTAAAGAAAAGAAAAGATTTTTCTCTCTTGGATTAAAGCTCGTAATGAGAGAAATGAGAGAGAGTGTGAGAGAGTTGGGGTTGTTTGAATGAGAGAAATAAGATTCATCTTCTTTTTTTATTCAACTTTTCATCCTTGACATTGACAAGATTTTTGTACAATTTCTTCCATTGGATCAAATCTCATTTAATTAGGACATGTAAGGAATTTAAAATTATCTCCAGAGACAAATATGTCTTAAATTGACATTCTTGAACATAAAAAAAAGTGACATTTTTGTAAATGTCTTAAAAAAAATTGACATCCTCTGCAATTTCCTCTTCTAAAAATAAGTAAATGCACGTGTAGAATTTCATCACAGTTCGAAAAAAAAAAAAGGTGTCTTCTCTTGACTACTTCGAAGATATTAGTAAGACATACAAAAAATGAAATAAATCTTTCAATAACCTTTTAAGATTTTAGATTATGTAAATATTACAAATGGCACGATGACAATTCTTACCATTCAGAGCTTGTTTCAGAGACATTTTTCAAGTGAAAAAATGATTTATTTGAATGTGTATATTTAGAAAGTAGGAAGAATTATTAACTGATTTTTGAAAAATCGCTTCCGAACAAGTTATGAGTAATGCATAAAATTCTAGAAGTTAGGTATTCATCGAGTTTTTTTTTTTTTTTTTTTTTAAGAAAAATAAATTCAGTAAACATGTGGGAAAGTATTTAGAGGTGAAAAGGTAAATACATATTATGAATTCAATATTGCTTTATTGAGTTTTTTTAGGTATCCAAAATTAATATCATCATTCAATATATTTAATTAAAACTACGAGTATTGAAAACAATTTATTAGATAGAGTGCTTGTTTGATAAAGATTTTATTAATTGATTTTTTGATCGTTAAAGATAAAGTGGCCACTACTCGTGAGAGAAGAATTCAAAAACGACGACTGAAATAGTGAAATAAAAATAAAAAAGTTGATGTTAATTGGATTAAAATCTCTATCAAACATGCTCAGAATCAGAGTGATTAAAAAATGGATAACATAATCTATATCCTTGTACAAAACAGGACAAAGTAAGAGTCAACATCCAAATTAATCCTTAGATTCTTTGCAATCATTACGGGTTTACTAACATGACAATCAATGTGTTGTCGACTTAAATTTGTGGGTCCAAGTTCACCCATGGAGTTTGAGTGTTGCAACATACACAGGGCCACATGGGCCCTTTTTTTTGTGTTCTCCCTATTGGTAAGGTGCTTGTCGACACATGCATCCTTCCAATAGGAAGGAATGTGTTCCCATGATAAAAGGGGTCCATGTGGCCTATTTGAGAAGAATTATTCGTCGAGTTTTCACAAAAAAGTTGAAGGTTAACAGATCCACATAAAGTTTTTCGTTTATTAGTGGGTTTTATTATATTTTAGGAATAATTAAATATTGATTGTTCATGTGAAATCCACGGAAGTATGAGATCTTTGATTCTTTAACAAATAGTAATATGATAAGTTGAGTATTGTCTCAAGATCAAAAAGCTTTAAATTAAATTATATTATTATGCAATCAAATTTGAATATTATTTATTCTAAATTAGTCTATAAATAGTTTGAAAACTTGATTTGAATGAATGAATGAATGGATGAATGTAGTGAATCATTCCACCAATCTCATTCCTATTTCCAATTCTCAAAATATGTAATTGTCAATATTTATGTGTTCTTTATAATCGATAATTCAATAATATTTAAATATCTCTCTCAAAGTTAGTTAAACTCGTTCTAAACATTATCCGATCTTATTTTTATTCCGAGTTCATATGCAAAGTAATACATTCATGTGCACGATCATCAATAAGATTGCACACAATATACATGTAATTCCTAGCATCTATAATTCGCTTATTGAAATTGAAAAGTTCTAACATATTATGAACCCTCCAACACTATAATAACTAATAAGTAACTAGTTATCTAATTTGTTGCTAATCAATTAAATAATGCAACAAAGCATGCAATCACAATCAAGAAAATCAAGAATATACTAACGACGAGTCTTTGAATTAAAAAAAGAAAAAAACATTTGTTTCATTTTCATCCAATACAGACAATGATCTAGCCTAACACGATTTCTATAGTATTACAAAAAGAATAATAGAGATATGTCACCCGAAACATGAATGAATACAAGAAGTCTTGATCTTAAACTCCAAGCTCTAAATCTTCAAGTTCTTGGTGTAATTAATCTTCAATTCTTGTTGGCTTTGATCTTTTCTCGTAAAAGATGTGAATTTATCTTTTTTCTCGATGAATTTTGTGATATGAGAGGCTAAAGAGAAATCCTTTAATGTTTATGTTACGCCCCTGTCCGAACAACTTTGGAGAGTCTACCTCTACCTATTACAAGGTGTTCAGCACCCATCCGAAGTGGTTCCGAAGTAACTTCACCACCAATATTGTCGATCTGTTAACACACTGTGAGGCATAGACAATTCTGCTGAATCGACCGAAGCATCCTTGTCCCTGAAGCCGAGGTGCACTCCAAGCCCCTAAGGTTTAATTGATTTGACGTCTCCATGAGCCTAGTTGATGTGACGAATAAACTTTATGTCAACTCAACTCGGGAGAAATAATTACCCTCCCACCCTATTGACACCTATGAGTAGACGCCTCACACCGCCAGATGCATACACGTGTCCCACATCCAACGGTTCTCCTCATCAATAAATACCCAAGGTTTGACATGAGACAGAGGTAATGAAACTCTTACAACATAGCTTTCCATAACAAGCAAATATATATTTTTCTCTCTACTATTTTGCATAACCTTGGTATTGTTCCGATCACCTGAGGCTAACTTGACCGTCGGAATGTATGCGGCCGCCACCATCCCCACTGGTTCCGACCGTGTGCATCTGACCGTGCGTTGACTGTGCGCAGGGAGGAATATGTGGAGTAGCTATCGGTTGGCCACGTGGAGGGTCCAATTTGCGAGGTCAATAGATTGATGCCGTCTGCGGGAAACTTCCTGTCCAAAATTCTGCATTCTCCACTGGAGAAATCACCGAAAAACTAGCGACTTAACCTGAAAAGGGCACGTTCTTAAAAAAGAGCAAAGTCGAGTTATAATCCAAGTTCTTATCACCCTTGAAAAAGGAGATAAGATGAGTTCCAACCATGAAGACGACAATCCTATGAGAGAGGCTTGAAGAAGAGGTGCTCCGTAACAATGTTACTCACCAGAGACCCCATCACCGACGTCGTCGAGGTGAAAGAACAGCCATGCTCACTGAAAGAATTGCTCAAATAGCTGCGAGCATGAGAGACATCGCAGCTCAGAATATGGCGATGCATGAACTCCTCATGCAAGCTTGAGGTCACTAGGGCTCTCAAATGTCCCAAGGATCTTACCCAGTTCAGGAAACCCCGCGTCTTGTTCCCGATGCCTTATGAGCCAGCACAGAGAATGCCCATTTGAAAGAGAA